ACACTCACAATCTTGTTCTTACCATATACACACACACTGTCTCTCTGATCTCACACACACACACACACACACACACACACACACACACACACACACACACACACACACACACACACACACACACACACACACACACACACACACACACACACACACACACACACACACACACACACACACACACACACACACACACACACCTCTGCTCTTTTCTCATCTCATGTTATAAAATAAACTCTCAGGGCCGATCACATCTCTTGGCAGTTGCCTATGAGCTTCTGCCTGGATTGCAATTTGATGGCTTGTCTGCTTATTGTCTCTTCGTTTCTCTTCGACTGCAGGTAATGGGTTTATTGATAAATTCCTAACACTTGCTCATCATTGACAGACAACGCCGTGATGTGCCCCGGAACAGAGCACATCACAATCAGCTTCCCCATGACCTCAGATGTGTCCCAACCCTAGTGTTGTTTAAAACACAACTAAAACCCTGATGTACTCATCAGCCTTTACATGAATTTTCTCTTATGCTGCATCATCTCCACTGTAATCTGTGATGTAACTTTGTCTTCTCCTTTAGCTCTAAACTGTAATTCTATTTGTGTGTATTTTAATTTGTGTTTTATGTTTTTTCATATCATGTTCTGATAATTGTAAAGCACATTGAATTGCCTCTGTGTTTCAAACATGCTCTAGAAATAAAGCTGCCTTGCATGTTTCATAAATCAGGTTTTCGACCGTTTGTACGAACGTTTTAAATTTCGCTCATAGGAACAAATTTAGGAATATTTCTACAAATGTTTGTTGAATGAGGCCCCAAGTCTGAATCAATTATGACACAAAGAGTTCTAACCTGGGGTCTTTGTCTTCATTCCTCTGGAGCCAAGTTGAGCAGTAACATCCATCCTATCCTTCTGATACTGAGGACCACAGTCACTAGGTGATAGAGCTAGGTAGATCTGGGTGTCATCTGCATAACTATGATAGGTAATGTTGTTAATGTGTATGACCTGGCCCAGGGGGAGCATGTAGAGACTGAAGAGCAGTGGTTCAAGAAGTGAGCCTTAAAATGCCTAATAATGGAGACACTGTGGAGTCGCAGACTCCTCCGTGCTCTTTAACCCCACTCTCACCCCCATGTGCTCGGAGATGTGCTCATGACATCACAGACCACTCATGTGCTCAATCACGTCCGCATTCCTAAGGCAGTGTGGAACAAACGTGGCCAGGCTGGGGCAGGCGATGCTAGTGTGTAAGTAGCATAAGAAACATCTTCCTCCACTGACCAACTCGGTAACATCAAAAGGATAAAGCAAAGAACATAATGAAGAAAGGGCACTAAACAGGTTGTGTTTGCTACATAAAGTTTTCAGCCGATTGTGACTGAAAGTCACTTTTGTCCTGAGTGGTAAAACAGAGTTAGATGAAGGATCTGCAGCCGACAGAAACTTTCACAGTGAAACAAACCACAGCCGTTTACAAGTTTTACAAAACTTCATTCAATAAGTGGTGTGGGTGTGTAAGATAGAGGCTTGTGGTGCAAAAAGCAAATTGAGTTAGGAACACTAAAAAAAACTTCATTTGAATGCAGTTATTCGGCTTTTTCCATTCCTTACATCACATTATGTGTTTGGGGGGAAATCTGGCAGACTTCTGAAGTGTTGACAAAATACGACATATATGGTAGGAATTTATACCAAGTTTTTTCCACTAAATATATACTTACACAACGGATCACATATCATTCTTTAGTCTTTTGCATTCTGAGCCCAAACCCGTCTCCCTGCTTTTCCCCAACCTGCCAGAACATGAGCCAGATGTGCAAATGTTTCACCGTTCAGAACCACTTCCAGGAGAAAGGGAGAGTAAGGGGAGAGGAACATTTGACTTCACTCCACAGGAGACCAGTTTCATAAATGTTGGCAACAACGCAGCAGTGAAAAAGGTATATTGGCTGGCCTGGCTGTGGGAGAATGCTGACAGCATACCAAACAACATGATCCTAATGAGTTGGAAAATCCCTGGCCCTCCAGAGGACTATCCAGATGCTACCGTCATGAGAAATGCTACCGTTTTATTGAATTTAAACCCCCCCCCCCCCCCCCCCCCCCCCCCATTACATGGGGCAAATTTATCATATGGCCATCAGGGCATCCAGGCCACTGAGTTTACTCTCGGCTGCGGGTACTGAATCCTACACTGCATGTAGGACAAGTTGATCTGTAAACGCCTCCAGCTAATGCCTGCCGTAGGCTTTGCAGCCAGTAAGCCCAGCTCTCACTAGTTTCTATCGGGTTGAAATAGCTTAGTCCTGAGAAGAAAAAAAAACATTAAACTTTTCACACTTTTAGTTGTAGCCAGCTCCATATTTTACTCCTGACAGATTCCTGAGACTAATGCTCTCATCTTCATGAAGACCTAGAACATTAGAGATCATATTCATCTGCTACAATCATATTTAGAGAACACATGGACCGTTTCATATCGGCTCGTGGGTGGCCGAGCCAGCTGGAGGCGTGGCCAAAACCCTGCTGCAGTCCAGTGCAACATCACTAGGTACCTCTTAGCCCAGGGATTCCCAAAGTGTGGTGCGCGCACCCCCAGGGGTGCGCGAGCTGCCGCTAGGGGGTGCGCAAGGTGAAAAGTGTAATGGCTGCGGAGCTCAGAGAAGTCTGTCATATGTCACCATTAGCGTAGAAACTCATTTGTGGGTGGGCCAAAGAAAAAGTAAGTGGGCACAATAAATGTAATTGAAAACAAGTATATTTTTGCGCGCGCGTGTCCTCCACATGTGCCCTAGCTTCATAATAACAATGCGCCGAGCTTCCGCACTCTGGCCTGTGCACGCCGATATTTTCCGTATTTGATTATTTTTAACGGTGTTGGATAAATCTGAAGGTGGCGAGTCATTCTGGCAGATTGTAATTAACACCTGTCTCATGCAGGTGTGCTGACGTTGTAAACCTCACACACAGAACATTGTGGATGTAACAAAATAACAAGAAATGATTCCCATTCAGGCTATTGACAGCGCGCTGAAGATCTGAAGTTCAGAGCGCGTCTGTCAGAGGTCAGACGCGTTCCAGTGGAACCACGGCTCACGGGTTCACAAGTGAGCACATCTGGGTTGGGCAGAAGTAATTTTACAACATTGGTTTAAATAGCGCGAGACGCGGTGACTTGAGCGGCTGTGCCGCGCGCGCGTGCGCGCGCACACACACACACACTCAGATTCAATAAGCGCACACGCTGCTTTAACTCCGGCGCGCCGTCAGACTGAAGGCAGAAATGAACGCTGCCTCCACTGTGATAAAAACTTTTAAGAGGTTATTTTTCATTCAAGGTCAAATTAAGATATTAGCTTCTGGGATGAGTCGGGTCCGCTCCAGCCAGTGGCTCCTCATGAACCTGACCACATCTCATATTACTGCAGCATTTGTCATTCCAGTCAGAGTGGCAGCGGATCGCAGATTCAGCCACACCATAAAACAGCAATAAGTCGGTCTGAGGTAAAAGTGAACATCATGGCTATATCTTGTCCCCTATTGACATTTGATTACGCACAAGTAGGTGATCAGCTCAGGTTTACGCAGAGCAGAAGGAAGGAGCGCTCTGGCCGCACAGGTTAAACGTTCCTACTTTAAGAAAACCGTTAAATTGCATTGTTTATGTGCTACCTGGGCACTCTAAATCAATGAAATCAAAGGAAATTGTAATGGTATCGAATGTTTATTAATTACTATTTAAAAAATGAAAGTGATGTGGAATTTTTTAACCCTGTCTGTTTAGCTTGACATCTGATATATATATATATATAGCCATGCCCCGATGTGGGGGCTGGGGGGGGCGTCGACATGGTCGGGACATAGAAGGGGGTGCGCGGCTAAATAAGTTTGGGAACCACTGTGTTAGCCAATAGTTATGGCTGATTCAAATCTGATCCAGTGCAGAGTTTTAATCTGAAGGGGGCACAATAATGATGCCAGAATAATGAATTCACACAGTGTCCTCCAACCCCCCAAGGCGCTTTAAAACACAAAGAGTCATTCATCCACACACACACTGGGGGCGATGAGCTACTTCATAGCCAGAGCAGCCCTGGGGCGTGCAGAAAGAGGCGAGGTTGTCGAGCACTGGAGGCACCGATCACCAGCAGCAGGCAAAGCCAGTGAGATGTCTTGCTCAAGGACACAACAACTGTGACAGACTGAGCGGGTCTTGATCCTGCAACCCTCTGGTCACAGGGCAGGCACCTAACCCCACATGTCTGCAGCACTAGTTCACACTCGTTTATACAGTTTATCAGCTCAAGAGTTGATTTGGGGGTGACTTACTCTTTAAGGGTCAAACACTAGGGACGAAACTACAGGCCTGAGTGAACTGATTGATGCAACTCCTCAGGGGACAGAGTTTCTGTGTAATCACTTCAGGCAGGAGGAATCAGCACTGTGACTGCTGGTCTCACTGGAGCAGGTGGGAGCAGAAACACACCTGTTCTGTGTTGCTCACCTAGTGCTGTTGCTGTGAACCAACTGGACAAAAGCTGCACCTATTTAACAAGTGGTTACCAAATGGGGGTGGGCAATATGGCCCAAACTATTCATCCTGATGTTTCACGGCTAGCTCCTGCTAGCTAGCTGCTTCACACATCCCTCTGTTGTGTCTGTGTGGACAGGCAGGCCGAGCCCGCCTGCGTGACCAGGTAACAGGTACTGCGATTCCAGCCATGTTTGCCTTCACAACTATTAGAACTGGGTGCCGCTTGGCCCTCGTGAGCATAAGGATGTGTTGATGTCATCTAATGGAGCATGATTTATTTGAACGTTGACAAGAAAAAAGTACAGGTTTCATTATGAAAGGTGCGATGTGGTTTAGTTCACGTGTCCCCTGTTGGTCCGACTGTCAATGTTGTTCATGCAGTGTTACCAGTATAACCCTGTTAGGTTGGGGGTGGAAGCATCATTATCAACAGGGCTGGTGAGTTCTACCATGCTGCTTACCTGGAACACTGAACACCTCACTGAGCAGATGTTCACTGACAATCAGCGGACATCCACTGGTGGTGCTGTGAGTCCAGCTCTGATAGATGGCTTGAAGCAGAAGTGTTTGGGCTCTTGTCGCCTGAATGGTGAAGTGAGGAAGTTCAAAGATCCACTCGGCAGTAGAAACTGATGATCTTTTGCTCCTGCAAGAAAAAAAAACGACAAAGTGACTAGATTAAATTGGGATTTGTGCAGGTAAAGACTAAATCCATCAGATTTCAGTGGTAATAAAAGAATGGATGGCAGGAGCACAGGTGGAAAGACGTTGTTGACCACCTCCACAGGTCCATCAGTAGACCATCAGATTATAAAACAGCTCATTGGTAGCACCGAGAGCTCCATTCCAACTGTTAAACTGAAAAAGCCAAGTTTTCCTGTTGTTTGGCAGGCAGGTTTACTTTGCTGACCCTTCGCTCCCCTTTGTCAAAACTGTGATGATGATTTATGTGAAAAGATGTACAGCCCAGAAACCCGACCCCCCAAAGAAATCTCTACACATTTAACATTTCATACGTCTCCAGTGTGGGACGAGGGTTAGTGTGAGCTGAACATTCAGAGGGATGAGGTAACAGAGCAGTCCGATGAGGTCCCCAGCCTCCGTCCATCAGAACCTCAGCGTACCGTGTCTTCATCATCCTCAAAGTAAAGTGCTCGTATTCACACCATCAAATCCATACACACGTCTGGTTAACACGCAGTGTCTCTCTCTCTCACACACACACACACACACACACACACACACACACACACACACTTATACACACAGCATCGAGCGATGGAGCACTTGTCATGGTCGGAACCACTCACTGGAAAAACACCGAGGGATCCTGGACTAAACACGGCAAAACAAGCCTCTTGGGTTGCATTTTTACTTTTCCCCCATGCACTCTGAGGGCTTCTTGGACTAGGCTTTTGAGGACTGGAAAGTCACTCTGTGTGTGTGTGTGTGTGTGTGTGTGTGTGTGTGTGTGTGTGTGTGTGTGTGTGTGTGTGTGTGTGTGTGTGTGTGTGTGTGTGTGTGTGTGTGTGTGTTAGCTTGACTACATATTGCAATGGAAGCAGTGAGGTGCTGCCTTATGAGCAGAGCATTTGGTAAAAATAGAACTGTGACTAATTCCAGGGATGGCTGCAGCATGTCAGGAACGAGCCTCACAGTTCATTTAATCTCACATCCATTATGGTCTGGTCCCAGTTCAGAGTGTGGGATATGTCACTGGGTCCCTCTCCTCGCTCTGCAGTTCTGCAATCGTTTAACTGCTCTGCTTCCCTCCCCTGAAAGTCTCTTTATCTCTCCCTTTCTTCTACTCCTGGGTGGTTCAGAAGGGTGACATAAGCTGTTAGCTGCACGCAGGCAACTCCAGAGTTAAGCGACTTCTGTGTCTGCAATAAGGTACAAACAGATAAAGAGGCACGCTCAAGTAAAAAACAAAAAACCACGGAGGAAGAAGGATTTCAGAGGTGTGAGAACTGACAATGACAACACAAAAACAGTTCATCCCTTTGACTACATGTAGTACAAAAACCACTACTGTAGCATGATATACAACAACCCATCAATCAAGATGATGCTGTGCTTTATTTGTGTCCAATGGGTGCAGTGTGTGTGTGTGTGTGTGTGTGTGTGTGTGTGTGTGTGTGTGTGTGTGTGTGTGTGTGTGTGTGTGTGTGTGTTCATAATGAAATATTGCAGTTGAACAAAAGGCAGCAAAAGACAACGCGGCAAAAACAATGTCCCCACATGCAGAGCAAATGTGCCGGCAAAGCCACTTCAATCAGACGACTGGCAAGGGATGAAAGTTTGTTGGCTTATTTGAGTGTTTATAGCGTTTAAGGGGAGCAGTCATGTGCATGTGGTCCCCTAAAACTTTAATTATGCACCTGTTTTTATTATAATATGCCCAGTTCTTTGTGAACAGCATCTTGAATCTCAGGACTAAATGAGAACCAGAAAGACTCATTAGGGTGTTTTGGGAATGTTGGATGTGAGGACAGCCAGGCACTCATCGGATTTCATTAAGTAGCTGGCACGGTCAGTGTTCCTTGCTGCAGCATGGTAAACAGCTTTTTGGCAGGAAAACCTCCAATGTTACAACTATTTCTGAGAGCAACAAACGAATCCAGAGGTCAAAAAACAATAAATCTCTGGAGCATTCCCAGCAGTAGTAACTTATTACCACAGATATGTGTGTTTCCAGCAAGGATGTGCATGTTTTTGCTTTTAAACAGTACAAACTACTTAACCCATTCAGGTGGCAGCCTGGGGAGCTAAACTCATAAAGAGAGCCTACACTCATAACGTGAGGATCCAGCAGAGTTGAGCCAACTAAACTTTAGATCCACAAGCAAAGGTCTTTTAGATGGCTAACTGAGTGGGCAGTCCCCTTGGAGGTCAATAGCTTTGATAATACAAGCAAATAAACGACCATTAAAAGGTTGGAAAGCCTGATTATTGACGCTCAAAGCAAAAACCACGCATCTGTGGAATGAGCAGCACAGAAAACACATGGGTACCACAAATAAGAAGACCGTGTTGGCATTCACTATTGCTCAGAGTTTCTTCGTGAACCAGATGAATGAACTTACCCAGAATAATGAAGAAAAACTATTTTTACACTACGGACTGTTTTTGCGACCTCAGTGGCACTCAGCATACATACATACATACATCCAACCATCCATCCATCCATCCATCCATCCATACATCCATACATACATACATACATACATACATACATACATACATACATACATACATACATCCAACCATCCATCCATCCATACATACATACATACATACATACATACATCCAACCATCCTCCCTCCTGCTGCTGTCACTCAGATACCTGTCATACACCTGTGACTGGAACACACCTGTGCACTCCAAGAAGAGATGTGTCAAAAACAACACATGTGGATGTGTTAACAGCATTTTAACACGTGTAGATTTTAGCACACAATGTGTAATCGTCCTATCCATTCACTAACAAAGCACATGTGTTATCCTTAGGGGATCGTCTCGTCCAATCATAAAGCTCGTTTTGTAAAACTATTACTTCCATCCGCTCGTTTTCAGTTGGTCTGTTACATCCGCATGCTCATTTCACTCGACTCTGGAATGGGATCGCAATGAAGGCTACTTATCCGCCTGTAAGTATCATTTATGTTGCTTAATATATTTTAAAAACACGTTTTAAGTAGACACGCAACTTTTTTATTGACTATTATGCCGTTAGGCTGTACTTGGCGGCACTTAGCATAGTAGCTAACTAGCTTTAGCCAGTTTAGCATACTCTGGCTTTTGCTAGCTAGATTAGATGGTGAAACATTTTTTGAATATATGTACATTTGTTGATAGCGGCAGTGGCTGAGATTGGAAAAGAAAAATCGTGTGAAGCAAAAATTTTAATAATTCTATATAAAGGGACGAAGTATTTCTAAATATAAGCGTTTATTGTAGTAACGTAATCGAAAGGGGAATAATGGTGCTTTTATTTTGAAAGACAACGCTTTAGCTAACCGGATGTATTGCTATTTATGCTAGCGATTGACGGATTAGAAACAACTAAAGAGGTCAGCGGGAAAAAAAACGTTTCAAGTCACACCTCTATTAGACGTAAGAACATTATCTTCTTTTGATTAACATTATCTCTATTTAATAAATAAACTAATATTAATCCTTTACGTTTGTCCGTTTCCCCGGTCTATGTTGCCCTTGGCTACAGAGACACGGAAGGAAACAGAAATCGTTTGTTGAACAAGAGCCGTGACAACAGATTTAAAAACGACATACCAAGTGAAATGCTGTTACATGTACTGGCAGCTCCAGTGTGATAGCCAGATATAAATGTCAGTATTGCTTTCAAAAACGGAGAAAAAACTGAATATCATATAAAAAAAATTCTGACAAATCTCACAAGATTAAATAAATCAAAATATGTTTTAGATAAGTTCAAGTACAAAAAAACTCCAAGGAGCTAAACAAAAACTATGCATAAATTGTAAGAAATGTATTGTTTTGTCATATCCCCTTTGCTGTCTTCAATTTAGCACATTCCTGTTGAAAATTAAGTGGAGTCTACAGTTACCATCTCAACGATAGGTGCCAGGCATACTTGAACACAAGAAAACAGGGAGCCAATATAGAGTTAAGGAGGCACCTTGTCAACGTTTGCATCAGCCTTTTGGTGGAGCGGCATGGATTGTAAGTACATGCTTGCATGTATACATATAGTTTTAGAGTGTTTATAAAGATATCAATTTTAATTTAATTCAAAGGAGATTGCACTGTAAGATAGTAGATTTTGATTTTTGTTCTACTATTCGCCCCTCACAAGTTAACCAACAAGTGCTAAAAAACTTACTCTAGCCACATCACTATTCTGAAATCGAATTTGTAAGAAGAAATTTGCCTAAATCAACAAGTGTATTCATTATAAATCAAATAATATTTTTGTAAAACCATTATTAGTGGAAATGTGATCTTTTATAGTGTTTCAACACCTTTAGTTTTGTCACTAATCTAAAACAATATTTTGTTGGATTATCTCAACACAGGAGCAGAGCAGACCAATGGCCGAAATCTTTAATGAATATCCACACTTTCTGGACATGCCAAGTCAGGTAGGCTTCATCATTTTCCTTCATTAGCTAAAGCAGAAGTCTGATATCATCAATAACACTGTTGAGCTTAAAATTATTTTTCTTTATTTAAGCTGGATATCGAGTTTGGAATAAAGTACTGTTAATCAGATGATTAGAAGCCAGCATCATACCAAAACAGAAAGCAGTGGCTACCAATGGATGGAGGGGATGGAAGACCAAGCAGAGGGTATGTGTCCATCCAGTCTGGTTTTAGTGGTTAATGCAAACATTGACCAAATGTTTTAACTACAGTTAAAGCCGAAACACTGCAAGAATTGTGATAAAGGGTTAAATGCACTAGCATAATAATAGTAATAATAATATATAGTTTTTGATATCAGGACAATTAGCACATTTTCATAATAGTTCATTGTTTCTCAAAATCTGAAAAAAAATTATGAGAGATGGGTAAGATAATGATATACCTTGCGGTAAATAAAAGTTAAGTCAATTTGTACTAATTTTATTGGGAAATAAAAAAAACTGTCTAATGCCCCGCCCATGTTGAAAGGAGAATCCCATTTAAACAACTTTTCTCTTTATTCTTGAGATTTTGCATATTTTCCTTTTAAAAATTAGGCAAGTTGTTTGAGGAATAATTTTATTATTGAAAAACAACCATGTTCTCAATGAGCCCAGACAACTCATTAATATCAGAGCTGAATGTTTTTGAGAGTAGTTTGTAGTTTTAGCTATTTTAGGGGGATATCTGTGTGTGCAGGTGACTATTACTGTGCATAATTATTAGGCAACTTAACAAAAAATAAATATATACCCATTTCAATTATTTTTACCAGTGAAACCAATATAACATCTCCACATTCACAAATATACATTTCTGACATTCAAAAACAATACAAAAAAAATCAGCGACCAATATAGCCACCTTTCTTTGCAAGGACACTCAAAAGCCTGCCATCCATGGATTCTGTCAGTGTTTTGATCTGTTCACCATCAACATTGCGTGCAGCAGCAACCACAGCCTCCCAGACACTGTTCAGAGAGGTGTACTGTTTTCCCTCCTTGTAAATCTCACATTTGATGATGGACCACAGGTTCTCAATGGGGTTCAGATCAGGTGAACAAGGAGGCCTTGTCATTAGTTTTTCTTCTTTTATACCCTTTCTTGCCAGCCACGCTGTGGAGTACTTGGACGCATGTGATGGAGCATTGTCCTGCATGAAAATCATGTTTTTCTTGAAGGACGCAGACTTCTTCCTGTACCACTGCTTGAAGAAGGTGTCTTCCAGAAACTGGCAGTAGGACTGGGAGTTGAGCTTGACTCCATCCTCAACCCGAAAAGGCCCCACAAGCTCATCTTTGATGATACCAGCCCAAACCAGTACTCCACCTCCACCTTGCAGGCGTCTGAGTCGGACTGGAGCTCTCTGCCCTTTACCAGTCCAGCCACGGGCCCATCAAGACTCACTCTCATTTCATCCGTCCATAAAACCTTAGAAAAATCAGTCTTGAGATATTTCTTGGCCCAGTCTTGACGTTTCAGCTTACGTGTCTTGTTCAGTGGTGGTCGTCTTTCAGCCTTTCTTACCTTGGCCATGTCTCTGAGTATTGCACACCTTGTGCTTTTGGGCACTCCAGTGATGTTGCAGCTCTGAAATATGGCCAAACTGGTGGCAAGTGGCATCTTGGCAGCTGCACGCTTGACTTTTCTCAGTTCACGGGCAGTTATTTTGCACCTTGGTTTTTCCACACGCTTCTTGCGACCCTGTTGACTATTTTGAATGAAACGCTTGATTGTTCGATGATCATGCTTCAGAAGCTTTGCAATTTTAAGACTGCTGCATCCCTCTGCACGATATCTCACTATTTTTGACTTTTCTGAGCCTGTCAAGTCCTTCTTTTGACCCATTTTGCTAAAGGAAAGGAAGTTGTCTAAAAATTATGCACACCTGATATAAGGTGTTGATGTCATTAGACCACACCCCTTCTCATTAGAGATGCATATCACCTAATATGCTTAATTGGTAGTAGGCTTTCGAGCCTATACAGCTTGGAGTAAGACAACATGCATGAAGAGGATGATGTGGACAAAATACTCATTTGCTTAATAATTCTGCACTTCCTGTAGTTAGCTGTTTACCACTCCAGACGTCATCGTTTCAAAGCCAATCATACCTCTGCTCTTTTTATTTTTTTATAATTTATTCATATATATCTGGATGGATGGATGGATGGATGGATGGATGGATAGATGGATAGATGGATAGATGGATAGATGGATAGATAGATAGATAGATAGATAGATAGATAGATAGATAGATAGATAGATAGATAGATAGATAGATAGATAGATAGCCATGCCCTGATGTGGGGCTGTGGGGTGCGTCGACATGGTCGGGACATAGAAGGGGGTGCGCGGCTGAATAAGTTTGGGAACCACTGGTTTAGAGTAATGAGTTGATTTATTATTTAACTAGTCTGTAGATAACTGGTATTACTGAAGTGTTAAACTGAGCTAAAACACTTAATGGTTTTACTTAAAAAACACACATGTTGATCAAATCCCATTCAGAAACCTTTTGTTTTACTTGTTGGACAGAAAAATGGAATTGTGTTTATTTGCCATGCTACTGTTGGCAGGCATTTAAGATTTAATTGTGTTACAGCTTAGACATTATCTAAGATAATTAAATAACAAAATGTATTATCTGCGGTCATGTTATGCTTTTATATGTTCTGTGAGCATTTAAAAATAAACACATTTTTAAAGCTGCCCTTTTCTCTTTAAGTTTCAGCACTTATTTTAACTACATTAAAAGCTACAATTCATGTGTTGCAATGACACATTTTAGCGTTAAAAAGGTTGACACAATGTGTGTGTAAAAATAGTTTACACATTTAATATGTTGAAATTAACACATTTTAGTGTTAAAAAGTTGACACAGTTTGTGTGTTAAAATGGGTTACACATCAAATTTGTTGGAATTAACTAAAAATGTGTCGTCCCTGAGCACACTCAGCACATGTGTTAAAAAATGACACAACATGTGTTATTTTTGACACATCTGTTTTTGCAGTGTAGCACTTGGATCTCAGTAAGGATAGCTAGAGGTGTATTAGGGTGCTATACACATTTAACTGTGTTCTCATTACTTAGACACACAAACCTTACATGTTATACCTACTGTAATAAAATCTGGACTGGTGCACTAGCTGGTTTCTCTGTCCAGCAGGTCTGTCAAAGGTCTAGTAGAACAAATGGATCAAGTTGGGCAGAGGGTGTGTCAGAGTCATAAGTACAACAATAACAGTGGGACTGCTTAGTCTCAAAAGCAAAAGTGAGTTAGAAAGCTAATTTTAAAGTTATTTTGGGTCTTAAAACTGACTAGCAGACAAGTTTCAATAGAAAATGATGTCAATGGCTTCAAGCCATGAACCATACTGCATTAATACTGAAGTACAATATTTGCATTAAATAGAGGAAACATCATCATATGAATAAGATATGAGAAGCTTTCTACAGTGAAACTAACAAAAACCTTTCTTTTACTTTTTTGTTTGGACATTGGATCAACTCATTAGTCTGGAAAACGCACACATCATCTACTCTCTGAAGGCACATTTGCAGCAAATTCCAAAAAGAAGGAAAAGATGTTTACTGTTGTGCTGAAACAGCGCTGCCTTAAATTATACTTTAATCCATTGGGAACGGAGGGATCTAATCACGGTGTTTTGTTGTTTTTGAGAGAGAACACCATGTTCATTCTCACCAAAGACCAGATTTTATGCCCCCCGCCACACACACACACACACACACACACACACACACACACACACACACACACACACACACACACACACACACACACACACACACACACACATACTATAGAAAACAGAGTTGTAAAACCCCAGCAGAATCGCTCTCTTTACCAGGACACTTGTTGAACAGCGTCTGTCTTAAACCTTGGGTGAGTTTGTCAAACTGGGTTTTTCAGTCACTTATTTTCTGTTCTGAGTTTAGAATATAATGAAGGTGTGTGAATGCTCAAATCATTCGTCTTTATTTGTTAGATGTTTTACTTTTCCCTTTATAAAAGCTGCAGGTGCCTTGAACACAAATACTTGTTATTCTAGCACTCATTTTGAATCCGGTCACAATGTGGCAGCAGATTCAGCCTCTAGAACAATAATGAAACAACCATGAGGCAAAGCCTACACGCTCTTGACTACGGCCTCTTCAGCAGGTGATATTTGATTGGGACAAATAAGCAGGTGCACAGTTCTGGCTTATGTGGATCAGAAGGAGTGAGGCTTCAATCCAATCCAAGTTTATTTATAAAGCACATTTTAAAACGGCATTGGCAGCAAAGTGCTGAAAGGGGTAAAAACCAGTAAGAAAACACAGTCACTAAAACAGATTAAAAATAAAATAAAAAAAATATTCCAGGAATATGCTATGAAAACATCAGTCCTGGCAAACAGGTGGGCATCATGATCTAAAAGCAATGGTAAATAAAAGGACAAGGCTAGACCTAAAACACTCGAAGGAAGGGGCTTGTCTAACTTCCAGAGGAAGAGCGTTCCACAGCTTTGGGAAAGCACGCTCGCCGAAAGCTTTATATCGTGCAACAGGAACAGCCAACAGTGATAGTTCAGAGGAGCATGAGAACCATCCTGAGAAATAGGGAGTAATCAAGTCAGATGGTATGCAGGAGCCTAAGCATGAAGGATCTTGTAAGCACAAACCATAGTTTTAAAGTTCACTCTAAAATGGGGGCCGGTAACCAATGCAAATCAGAGAGAATGGGTGTGATATGTAGGCATTTGTCAGAAAGCGTGCCACAGCATTCTGAACTTTCTGAAGACGCATGCTCATGTATTCAGACACACCCACACACACACACTTTCTTATCTTATGTTATAAATAAACTGAGAGTTCAGGAGCTCGGGGCAGTGGCCTTGTAGCTTCTGCCTCCGCATTGCAATCTGGATACTTGTCTGTCATTTGTTTATTTTCTCTGGTTGCAGGCACTGGGTTGTTGATAAAAATCCTTGACATTATTGGTCCTTCGAGCCGGGGTCCCGGGTTTCTTCCCGACGCCAAAACCACCGCCGGACACCTGTCGCAACATCTCCAAAAGCCTCCAGCGCTGGCTTTCACTGGAGGTCGGTGCTTGGATTTTTATGTTGCTGCAGGGAACCATACGGATCCATGAACTCAAGGCCTGCGCTGAGAGCTCTGGTAAGACAAGTTGTTGTTGTTTTGTGGTACAGAGAAAAATCCTAGGTGACCAGAGGTTAAATAGGTGTTTTGAGCGTTTTGGCCGGAAATATAAATGCAGGTCTGTTTTGGCTTGGTTTTTACGCAACTCTGGTGTGATAAGATATAAATGAATAGACCGGTGTGAGAACTAAGAGGTTAAATTGTTTTTTGAGCATTTCTGCCGGAAGTATAAATGCAGCTCTGTTTGGCTTGGGTTTTTGAGCGTTTTGCCTTGAATAGAAACGCATCTCTAGTTATCTGTTGTTGTTTGTTTGTCTTAGATGTTGTTCTGCTTTAACTGTTGTTTGAATGAGTGAGAGTGTGCCTGAACTTGCCTTATTCTTGCAGAAAGAAGGATATCGCAACTCATTTTAAAACATCTGTCTGACATATCGGTGGTCAGATTTTTAAACAGGTTGGCGGATATGCCGTAAATCGGATCTCGCTGTATTAGAATACAGTTGAAGGGCAGATCCATAAGCCTAAAGCCTGATTCCTGCTTCTCCGTCAGCTCCAACAGGGAGAGACACGCACGGACAGGGATGTTTTGCCCTCATACTTCTCCGTCTCCTGGGGAGTGTTGCAAAGTAATTCCCGGCCAGGACAGCAGAGGGCGTAGCGCTGTTCTGTGGTATCCTGTCGTATCTGGTCCAAGATAGTGTGTTTATATTTTGTTTTTTGTACATGAGAGATTTTTAACAGACAAATTTGTCTCTCATTCTCTTCCAACTCTTCATGCGCTCGCCACCTCTAAACCCACGTTTCCCATCACAAATAAAACACTTGCCGCATATCTTTTCACTCCTCCAGTCACGGGGAATTAAAACGTTCATGTTTTTAGAGTTTTTTTTTTTGCGAGGTATTCTTCAAGCTTCTCCATGTCTGCCACTAGTTATCCTCGGCTCTTTGTTTTTGAGGGCGCAATGGCGGCGGTGTAGACGACAGCGGCATCCTGACCAATCACAAGCTTGTGTTGTCCGTCTCGTTCGACGGATGTTTAAAAAAGTGGGCTCGACTCTGTGCGTACTTGCGTGCCTGCCGGTGCCCTACGCAAGGACGGATAATGGTGCGCGTCTCCGCACTGACGCAGACGGAGAAGCATGAATCAGGCTTAAATCTGATCTCATAATGAAGAAAAGATGGTGTAACATTTAAAAATGGGAAATAAAGCCTCACAAACACCTTTGAGTAAAGACAGTGCATTTGTGGAAAAGAAACATCCAGGAAATGAGGAAATTATCAGGAGATGGATCAAAGAACATGATTTTTCTGGTAATTTGGTAACAACTGATGTGTTAAGTTTGCAATGTAATTTGAAAGTCAAGATTGTGAAGGAAAGAAATGAAAAAGGGAGGGAGGAGAGAAAATTACAGTATGAAATTTCAGAGTTTTGGCTTAAAGAGTGCACTAGGAGGGATGCTGAGAGAAATAAAAGAGTGGGGGAAAAATGAGCAGAGAAAAAGCCCAATTAACCAAGAAGATTAATCAGTTTTCCATCAAAGAACAGCTATGAAAATCTTAACCTCGGGCAGTAAAACCAACACATTCCTAAGCTCAGATAACACTGTAGCATATGCAGGATACCAGTCACGTTTTGCACCAAGAGGCAGGCAAAACCACAGGCAGAGAGGCCAAGGGAGAAGATTACTAAATGGCAGAGAGGTTATTTGCTGGTACTGCCATAAGAAGGGACATCTAGCCCGTAACTGCTGGAACAACCCATCATATGGCACAAGATGAGAGTTCATTCGATCACCCTCCAGCACAGGTCGAATCATTTGAGGCCTGAGGTTACTAAACTAGAACATAAAGAGGAAAAATTAACACCTTGTTGCAAAATGGTCACTACAATGGACAAATTCTCAAAATTGTAATTTATTTATTTTGCTATTAAGCACAGCTGTTGAAGACTTTATTGCATTTGAGCCCCTCCATTTTTACTTCAGTAAGTCAAGCCCATATTTCATGTTCAGAATGCATGCTGTCCACGGAAGTGAACATGTAATAAACTATTTACAAATTATTAAATGTTACAAACATTATTGTTGAAATTTGTTTCATTCACACCCAAAGATGAAAGGTGAATGAAAGTATCTGTTAAAGAATCATGTTTGAAGATTTCATCATTCATGCATCAAAAGGGTTAAGCACTGACCAAATATTTAATTCCTGGCATTTTGGTGACAAATATAATTTGAACTCTGAACCATGTCACTTTTAGTGGCTGAAAGGGAAGGGGTTTAAGAGAACCCCTCAATCTGAGAAATTGATTGTTTAACAGTACTTGTAGGGAAAAGAAAAAAAGGCTAAGTATGTAGGTTTTTGGAGTCCCCACTTCCTCCTCATCCTCCAGAGTCCCCACTTCCTCCTCATCCTCCAGAGTCCCCACTTCCTCCTCATCCTCCAGAGTCCCCGTCTCATCCTCATCCTCCAGAGTCCCCGTCTCATCCTCATCCTCCAGAGTCCCCGTCTCATCCTCATCCTCCAGAGTCCCCGTCTCATCCTCATCCTCCAGAGTCCCCGTCTCATCCTCATCCTCCAGAGTCCCCGTCTCATCTTCATCCTCCAGTGTCCCCTTTTCAGCCTCATCCGCCAGAGTCCCCTCTTCAGCCTCCTGGATCTTCGTCCCTTCCTCCTCCACCAGAGTCTCCGTCCCTTCCTCCTCCACATCCAGAGTACCTTCCTCCTCCTCATCCACATCCAGAGTCCCTTCCTCACCCTCACCCTCCTCCTGAGTCTTCGTCCCTTCACCCTCCTCCAGAGTCTTCGTCCCTTCAGCCTCCTCCAGAGTCTTCGTCCCTTCAGCCTCCTCCAGAGTCTTCGTCCCTTCAGCCTCTTCCAGAGTCTTCGTCCCTTCAGCCTCCTGTGTCTTTGTCCCCTCGTCCTCCTGTGTCTTCGTCCCCTCAGCCCCCCAGAGTCTCCATGTCCCGGCTCCTGGTTCCCCGTTACCAGCTTCCCAGAGCCTCCATGTCCCGGCTCCTGGTTCCCCGTCCTCCCAGAGCCTCCATGTCCCGGCTCCTGGTTCCCCGTCGCCGGCCTCTCAGAGTCCCCTGGTTCTCCGTCGCCGGCCCCCCAGTGCCTCCCGGCCCCAGACTCCCTAGGTCTCTCGCCGCCCCTGTGGTCACCTGTTCTTCATCCTGTGCTTGTGTCTTGTGCTTGTCTTATGTGCGTCTGGAATCCGTCCATGCGGGGGGGGGGGGGGGGGGGGGTGCGTCCCCCTCATGTGTTCTCCAGCCCTCTCTAGGTTCCTCTGATGTGTCTCCTTGTGTTCCCCAGCCCACTCCAGGTTTTACCCTTAGGTGTTCCCCTTAGGCTTCTGTGCTCCTTTCGTTCCCCAACCCCTCCAGGTGTCCCTCTAGGATCCCCCTCATGTGTACCCAAGCTTCCTGTGCCCCTTCTCGTCACCAGCTCCCACCAGGTTTCCCTCACGTTTTCCTTAGTCACCCCACTTATCATTAGGTTTCCGTTATGTTTGGATTATTTAGTCAGTATCTCCCTTTGGTTCATTTATGCTTCCTTCCCCAGTTTAGGTCTAGTTTCCTTCCCTACTCCGTTCTGCTCCTCCTCTCTTATTAGTCTCACCTGTGTCCAATTCCCTTAATCACCCAGCCCTTGTGTTTATAACCCTGTCTGGAGATCTTTCCTGCCAACAGCCATTGTAATATATAACAACTCTTTGACAACTTGATTATTATTATTATTCTAAGCTACTACAGCAATCAATTTCTCTCTGGGATTAATAAAGTATTTTTGAATTGAATTGAATTGAATTGAGTAGAGGCAATGATAGGGACGAGTAGTTCTCCATGCATACTGTAAAGCTTTGGTTCCAGATATATGATCTGAACCAATGAAGTGCAATCCCCGTTATCCTCACCCAAGACTCCAGCCTCTTCACAAGGATCTTATGGTCCACTGTATCAAATGCAGCTGACAGATCTGAGAGAGGGAGAATAACAGGGCGGCCAGCATCTGACGCTACCAAGATATCATTTAGGACCCAAACATGCAGAGATTCAGTACTGTGCTTTGAAGTAAAGCCAGATTGGAAAGGATCTTGGAGATTTTTTTCCTCAAGGTGATAAAGAAGTTGGAAATAAACAACTTTCTCTACGACTTTTGAGAAAAATGAAAGCTTAGAGACAGGACGGTAATTTGCTAAATTCTCAAGATCGGTCCAAGATTTTTCTTAACAGCAGATGAAGGACAGCATGCTTAAATGAGGTAGGAACTATCCCAGATGACAGACTGAGAATAATCATGTCGAGAACAAACCAACCCCAGGTAGAGTCCCAATAAGCACCTTTGGGGGAAGAGGATCCAATAGAGATCCAGAGGGTTTCATACCTGAAATGATTTTGCTGATGTCCTCTAGTGCAATAGGGTGGAAAGAGCATAGTGGTATAATCCCTGGATTCACCTCGTGGCTAATCAAACCCATCGAGCTGATGTTAGATCTGATAAGGGTGATTTTGTCAACAAAAAACTTTGGAAACTAAACACACAGGTCAATTGAAGGTTGGGTGGGTGAAACATTCTCATTTTGGAAGAGCAAGGAGTTAATTATCTTATGTAGGGCACGTTGATTACCTTTGTGCTCAACCACAATATTAGAGTAATACTTATTCCTGGCTGATCAAACAGATTTTTCGTACCGCGACCAAGATTCCTGCAAAAGTTCAAAGAAGACCTGAAGTCTGTCTTTTCCACCTCCTTTCCTAAATCAGACACTGGCATGTACGCATCCTGGCCTCCTCACTGGGCCAGGATGAGCCTTTTTCCTTTGATTCTAAGCTGAACTTACTGAATTGAATGAGTTGACCAAATCATCTACATGCTTAAATGCATTGTTTAAAAGTTTCTGGGTCACTCAGGTCAGCTTGTTTTGACTAAATATTATTTAAAATGTAATGTATTGCATGTTTATTAGCTCTTAATTTAAAAATGAAAGTGACAAGGAAAAAGGACCATGCAACCTC